AACAGCACAGGCCCCAACACCAACCTGGTAGTCAGATTGTAGGCAACTTTGCTTGTAGTATACAATAAGTAAGCCTAAATCTTTTGGAAAACGATGCTAAGGCATATGGAAAATGAGAAAGTAATTGGTGACAGACAACATGGCTTCACCGAGGGCATATTGTGCCTGACAAATATGGTGGCCTCTACGAGGGGGCATGACCTTGGTGGATAGAGGACAGGCAACCGATGTCATTTACCTGGACTTGTGCAAAGTATTTGACACCATCCGCCACAACATCTTTGTCTCTAAATTGGAGAGGCATGGATTTGATGGGTGGACCACTCAGTGGATAAAGAACTGGCTTTAAGGCTGCACTGCAGAGAGTTGTGGCAAACGGCTCGATGTTTGAGTGGAGACCAGTGACAAGCGTCATTCCTCAGGGGTTGGTATTGGGACTGGTTCTGTTTAACGTCTTTGTCAGCAACATGGATGATGGGGTGGAGTGCACCCTCTGAAAGCTTGCTAACACCAAGCAGTGTGGTGCAGTCGACACACTGGAGGGAAGGGATGCCATCCAGAGGGACCTGGAGAGGTGGGCCACTGCTAACCTTGTGGAGTTCAACAGGGCCAAGTGCAAAGTTCTGCGTATGGGTCAGGGCAATCCCAAGCACAAGTACAGGCTGGGTGGAGAATAGATCGAGAGCAGCCCTGAGCACAAGGACTTGGGGGTACTGGTGGACAAAAAGCTGAACATGGGCCGGCAGTGTGTGCTGGCAGCCCAGAAAGCCAGCCGTATCCTGGGCTGTATCCAGAGATGCATGGCCAGCAGGTTGAGGGAGGAGATTCTCCCTCTGTACTCTGCTCTTGTGAGACTCCACCTGGAGTGCTACGTCCAGCTCTGGGGCCCCCAACATATGACGGACATGGACCTGTTGGAGCAAGTCCAGAGGAGGCCACAGAGATGATCAGAGAGCTGGAGCACCTCTCCTATGGGATCGGGCTGAAAAAGTTGGGCTTGTTCAGCCTGGAGAAGAGAAGGCTTCAGGGAGACCTTATAGCATCTTCCAGTACCTGAAGGGGCCTACAAGGGTGCTGGGTGGGGGTGGAATTTTTACAAGGGCCTGTAGTGACAGGACAAGGGGTAATGGGTTTAAATTGAAAGTGGGGAGATTTAGATTGGATATCAGGAAGAAAT